TATCTTTGATATTACTACCTGTCTGACTTTATAGTGCCCTATCTTTGATATGACTACCTGTCTGACTTTATAGTGCCCTATCTTTGATATTACTACCTGTCTGACTTTATAGTGCCCTATCTTTGATATGACTACCTGTCTGACTTTATAGTACCTTATCTTTGATATGACTACCTGTCTGACTCTATAGTACATTATCTTTGATATGACTACCTGTCTGACTTTATAGTGCTCTGTCTTTGATATGACTACCTGTCTGACTTTATGTTAGCTTATTTTTCAGCTGTCTGTCTGTCCAACTTTATGTCAGCCTGTTTTTCAGCTGATATCGAACCCCTATTTTTAGTGTCATAAACAGTCAAACTTACCACTCAGCTATCGGGGGCCATTTGTAATTGTACAAAAAATATATTTTATGCGGATAGACAAAAAACAGTGTGGTCAAAGGAAAAACTAATACGTGTTGGTGGTTCATTAAAATAGCTTTTCTTGGATCAGATGTCTTAACCATTCCGGGACAGAACTGTTTTAATATTGAACTAAAAACGTATTATTATAGGACAAGGCCACTTTAGATTGTTGTACGTATGTTGTAGTAGAACAGAAAAACAAAACAAATAAGGACAGATCTTGTATCCTTTGTCCAGTTCAATTGATTTTTGTGGTGGCACTCCCAGATTAAACCTGTTTAACGAGTTGGAGATAATCCTGGGTTTATCCATGTAAGGCATCTTGGGGAGTTTCAAAACTACGAATGATACGGTACTAGATTGTATGTCTCAGAAATCACGATGAGAATCTGAACGCTACCTACTGGTGTTGTACAGAGGGTTGACTACGTTGTAATAAAATACGCTGTCTACCGGTGTTGTACAGAGGGTTGAGTGCGTTATAATATAACGATTTTGAATATGCAAATCAGCAAGCCACATAATAACCTCAGCCGGTATGAAATCGCGGTGGAACGGAATGTATTATAACTACATTTTGACATTGTTTGGCGTCAGCTAGGTAGTTGGTGTGATGGCGCTGCGAATTGATCACATTTTTGGATGGGTATGTAAGAGCCCTTTCTGACGCCAATCATCCATAAACTCACATCATAAAGATGTGTTTAGATCAGGGATTTAGAACTTCCAAGCTGGGAATATCCTTTATACTTAATGACATTGGAAAACAAAAGAATATGGATCAACTTGGGGCACCAGGACCATCCAGAAAGAGATCTGCAACATATCATACTCCAGCTGTGGTAAGTAAAGTGAGGATCGAGGAACACAAAGATCAGTGGAAAAGCCATTCGCATCTCCCAGGTATGAGTATGCAACATAATCGAGATGGGTTACCTTCCTGAAAGGTGACAGAAGTTACGTGTACACAAGTTGCTTCCCTGTCATATCCATTAAATCATTGCATACCTCAGGCATTTGGAGAATTAAACAAGTATTCATTATATTTCATACGAAGACATTCCAGTCATGTCGCCGGATGCAGCGCTTATGGATTCATGTATGATTGGACTCTTAAAGGGGCACTGTAAAACCGTCATCCTTGTATACTAAATGGCTTATGGAAAGCACACAGGGAGTAGATGTGTGTCTTGAACATGACAGCCTTATGATAGAGCATTGCAATGGAAACTACACAGCAGGGCTATTGTCAAGATGCACAGTCGTCAGACAAAGCATGACCGTACGTGGTGACATGAATCGGTTTAATATAACGTACTTAACCTCTGTAGTACTGAAGTCAGTACATAAAGGCCTGAGAACTAAAGTAATTTAGTAAATGTTAACGTGCTGTCTAGTTTAACATTTAAAAATATTAAGTTAGGTCATGTAAGTTTAACATAACTCTTAGAATATTTGGTGAATCGTACTATAAGTGTCCGTACATGTCAAGCTCCACATCCAAACAAACACCCGTACACTTCTGTACAATTACAAAGGAAAGTGAAACGTTCGTAGACTTGTTGTTTTGATGTACACTTCCGAACTGTCGGTTACACAGGTGCTCCTGTAACTGGAAAATTAATGAACAGTTTATTCAGATTCGTGTTTAGGCTTCAGTCAGAGAGTAAGAGTCTACCTTACATTTTCTGTCCCTTTTAAACATAATAGGACATTATCTTATTACAAGTTTACTATATTTAGTCTTTAACCTTTTCTTAAGATAATGTTGCCTGGATGGAATTTTATAGGACGTTGCCTGGATGGAATTTTATAGGACAAGAAAAGGTTAAAGACTAAATACAGTAAACTTGTAATCAAAATAGACAGATAATGTTGCCTGGATGGAATTTTATAGGACAAGAAAAGGTTAAAGACTAAATACAGTAAACTTGTAATTTTACCAGGTACAAGCAACGACCTCTCCATGTCACAAGATGAACTTACAGTATCGCAAGATTGTCTTCTCCTAGGTGGCGAAAGTGTAGCTACGTGTAGCAATATCAGTGGCCAGTCCCCAACGTTTGAAAACAAAAGAATCAGGCGAGTCTTAGATAACCTTTGTTTAAACCTAGGCAAAAGTAATGTATTAACATCAACCGTTTATACTGTTTCATTTTAACTTACTGAGAAACTTAGGTAAAGCAGTCAATAGTTAGATAATTGATGACCCAAGAGAAGTATAGTTACAAACTAATAGACTAGCTTTTAAACTGGATCGCTAGGTGACGGAAAATTGGTCCTCACCTCTACACACCCGTGACCATGCAGCAATATGGGTATAAAAGATGATTATATAAATTGAATCAAAAAATCACTTTTTATTTTACCACGTGTGCAACTGAAGTCCTTACGAATATTTGTGGTTTCAGTATTGTATTTACTTATTTTTCTTGAGCCCCTGTGTTTTATAATATGCTACGTTTGCAGTCCTATCCTCGTCTGCAGTGACGAAGAAGAACGTTTCGAGTGTTACGGAGAAGGGGAGGATCCGGAGACTGATATCAACGAATCTGGAATCTACCTGGAATCCAATGGATCCTATAAACCGTCATTAAGGTAAGTCCTGTGGTCATCATGACATTTCGTATTATTGTCACACATTCTAAACACGAGCTCGGGTATATCCTTACCTAAGATATAACAAAATTAACCATTTTTAACAGCATATTCCGGAACATATTTATCAGTTTCTTACGAAGAATGTGTTATATTGAAAGAAATAAGAACAGCTGACAAGGACTAATGTCCTGAAAAGGACAATTTTGTGGACATTTCGTATTATCGTCACACATTCTAAACACGAGCTCGGGTATATCCGTACCTAAGATATAACAAAATTAACCATTTTTAACAGCATATTCCGGAACATATTTATCAGTTTCTTACGAAAAATGTGTTATATTGAAAGAAATAAGAACAGCTGACAAGGACTAATGTCCTGAAAAGGACAATTTTGTGGCCGTGTTACAGTTTATGTGTATTTATCGATGAATTAGTGATTGAATTATACGTGATTGACTAATATTTATTATTTTATATTTACTTCTGAAATAAAACTTGAATCATGAAACTGTGTATCATATTTGTTAAACCCAACACCACTAGTGCTTGGAGTATATATCAGACACACACACATGTATATATGTCGTTTGATACAAACCTTCAATGACATTTAGTCTTCAGAGTAGGGGCACTGTTGATAATCGTCTAAACGACAAGACAGAGGGCACTGTTAATAAACGTCTAAACGACAATATAGGGGCATTGTTAATAATCGTCTAAACGACAAGACACAGGGCACCGTTAATAATCGTCTAAACAACAATATAGGGGCACTGTTAATAATCGTCTAAACGACAAGACAGGGGGCACTGTTGATAATCGTCTAAACGACAATATAGAGGGCATTGTTAATAATCGTCTAAACAACAATACAGGGGCACTGTTAATAATCGTCTAAACGACAATACAGAGGGCACTGTTAATAATCGTCTAAACGACAATACAGAGGGCACTGTTAATAATCGTCTAAACGACAATACAGAGGGCACTGTTAATAATCGTCTAAACAACAATATAGAAGCACTGTTAATAATCGTCTAAACGACAAGACAGAGAGCACTGTTAATAATCGTCTAAACGACAATACAGAGGGCACTGTTAATAATCGTCTAAACGACAATACAGAGGGCACTGTTAATAAACGTCTAAACGACAATATAGAAGCACTGTTAATAATCGTCTAAACGACAAGACAGAGGGCATTGTTAATAATCGTCTAAACGACAAGACAGAGGGCACTGTTAATAATCGTCTAAACGACAAGACAGAGGGCACTGTTAATAATCGTCTAAACGACAAGACAGAGGGCACTGTTAATAATCGTCTAAACGACAAAACAGAGGGCATTGTTAATAAACGTCTAAACGACAATTCAGAGGGCACTGTTAATAATCGTCTAAATTCTGAACGATAAGAGAGGGGTACTGTTAATAATCGAGACATTATTCAACTGTCTACCCAAGTCGTTGAGCTTTATATATATATATATATTATATAGCGCTCACTGAAGCAACTGGATAGAGGGCGCTGTTAATAATCGTCTAAATTCTGAACGATAAGAGAGGGGTACTGTTAATAATCGAGACATTATTCAACTGTCTACCCAAGTCGTTGAGCTTTATATATATATATATATATATGTATATTATATAGAGCTCACTGAAGCAACTGGATAGAGGGCGCTGTTAATACTGGACACCTTATACAACTCTTTAACCAACAAAATCAAGACATCACGCATCTGTCCAAAAGACTCGATATCACAATGGTATCTGACTAGATAAGGGGCACTGTTAATTTAATCATTCAGACCCTACATACCTGTCTAAAAGCAGAGGGCGCTGTTGATTATTAATAACCAAAACTTCATCTTTGTTATGGGGCTTTCAGTTGAAACACGTGACGTCATATTAAATTTAGTAATAGCATTGGTTACACAGCTATGATGTCACAAGTTTTTGTTTGAGGGTGTCGCTTAAAATAGCTTTTTTTTTTCCTGTTTGTCTCCTTTCTAGAAAATTAGTTCCAGAGAAAAAACAAAAGCGTATTTAAGAACCCGTTGTCATTCGAACTTGTGTTTTTAATATTTGTAGCTGAATAAAAATTACATTATGTTTAATGTCTTGTTAATGTTTGGTGTTCTCTGATATTTTGTTCGTACGTGTGTTAAAATCGAGAATGTGCTTATATTCCCATACTATCACCCCGTGTTATACAAAACTCCCTCTTGCTTATCCTATGTATTTCCCTAGCTCTGACAGTTTTCGTAGTACAAGTAGTGCAGGCAGCACCGGAAGTGGCGGACGAATACGCCATACCCGCAATCCATCTCAACACAGTACATGGTCGCGGTCTAGTCTCCGAAGAGCCTCTAGGTACAAACGATTGTTTTATCTGTGTTTTTTCGTGAAATGTGTTTTGTTTTCTACTACGTGTACTTCATGTTAGTATGTTTATAGATTATTAGATAAATTTGTATTTTATTGTGTATATTTGATGTGTGTTGATAAACTCTTGGAAACACGTGTTTTTGTGTTGTTGTTTTTTTTTACCTTTGTAATACTACTCGTGTTGTGTAGAAAACTAACGATCTAACCTGTACCAGCGTAACGATTAGTTTTGTGTGATCTAACCTAATATAAAAACAAGTGTGTGTCACGTCACGCTTGATTTATCGAAATAGGAGGAGTCATGAAAGACAAAACCCATTTATCCAGATAGAATAGTTCGATTACTGTCTGCCCATTACGAAGAGGGTGTGTGCCGTGAAACCTTATAAGTGTAGTGAGTGTTGGTATAATAAGCCTAAAGTAAGGACATAGTGTGGGAGCAGCTAGTCTACAGCCAAGTGTATAAAATTTATCATGAAAGTAAAAACATCGATTCAATTTTAAACTTAAATCGTTTCTGAATTAAGCTGTTTTCTGTTATATCACCAACGTTGTGAATAAAAAAAACAAACTTCTTTAATCAACGGAAACTAAATTAAGAAGTTAACAAATATTTTTCAAGTTTTGTTGTCAATTGCGTTTGATTTTATACTTTCAGTACATAGACTAACAACAATATTAGGTTATACTTTTGTTGCTAAGCCACATAAAATAAAATCCATTGTTAGAACGTAGTGTCACCAAAACGCTCTGGCTTTTCTATGTATTAGAAGTTGTTAATCTAACTGATTTTTACCAATAATTATTCTATGAATATGCCACAAATTCATTTAATGAATGATCTTAATTTTGATTGGCTCACAAAGAAACCTACTGACGTTTGACTGCATTTTTCTGCCACTTTTTTTGGCCAACTTTGATTTCGCATAATTTATTTATTTCAGTTAGCTATGAAATGTTAGGTTAGGGTATACTATGGGGTGGGGGTGGGGATGGTAGTACTTGCCCCATCATTTTTGCTGGGCTCTACGGTAGTTTTTAATAATCTCCCGCTGCCATTCATATTAACTACCATGATGACAGATCCATTGTACACTTTCTAGAATGGGCACCAGATGGCGGTACAAGATTCTCACAAGACTGTCAGATATAATACCAAAATAAATATATAAACATATGAAATGGATTAAAATGCTCAATGCAGTCGAAGTAATTATTAAATTACAATGTTTGTATTTAAATTTCAATCATTTTTGATATTATTATTATGAAAGTATTTATGGTAAGTTAATCATGTTTGTTTGATTCAGCGCAAAGCTACGTATTAGGCTTTCTGCGCTCGGTCTACCATAGAGAATCGAACCCCGGAAAGCATGTATGATATGCAAGTTTCTAGAATTATCGAAGTTGGCCGGTGTCTCTGGTAGTGTTCAAAAGGACAACTGATGACCAGACAACGTTTCGTTTCAGCAAAAACTGTGGATTAAACAACAAGGGAAGACAAACGAAACGTTATCTGGTCACCAGTTAACTATATATATTGTCCTTTTCAGCAAAAACTGTGGATTGAACAACGATGGAAGACAAACGAAACGTTGTCTGGTCACCAGTTAACTATATATATTGTCCTTTTCAGCAAAAACTGTGGATTGAACAACGAGGGAAGACGACCCACACGGAGCAGAGTCGTTGAACTTCATCCACAAACACTGAGTCTTCTCACAGAGCATCTGGTCCGTCGACTGCCGAATGAGTAGAGCCGACAACGACTGTGTAAACTGAGACGACAGTGTTTACAAAACTTGTCATAGGTTATTCACGTTTCGCCTCGTAGCTGATACTACAAATGAGATTATCTCCTGAAATGGCAACAACAACATAGCAAGAAGTAATAAATGATGGTTAGATAGAACGGCAGTGTTAATACACAAGAGTTGTATGTTATACCGACTATAGGTTTAAAAAAGTGTATTATTTATGACAGATCATGACGTCAGTATTAACAACAATTAAATGATAATAATTTATCACAAAGTCCTATAATCTGGCATACAAAGGTACGTTGGTTATGACTACAGGTGGCCTAGTATTTATTGAGTTATTTCCTCACGTATCGTTTTTTTTTATTATTAAGTTGTATCATCCGATCCTTTGTTAGTTATTCAATTATTTTGAGAAGCTATCTACTGGTTTATTCAGACCCCCCCACCACCACTCCCTCGTTCAAGTCTATTAATTATTGGATGATGTTCCTGTAACAAAACGTTGTCTGGTCACCAGTTAACTATATATATTATCCTTTTTACTAAAGTTCCATAATTCAACATTCTTAAAAAAGAAAAAAAAAACATTTTAGCTCAGATGTAGTTTTTATTTACGCAGAGGTTAACAATGGATTACACGCTCTTTGAACGCCGCAGGAATCGAACCGTGAATTCCAGGTTATAAGGAAACGTATATTTTGGGCCTATACGAAGGGAGAATCTGTCGTTTACATAAGCTCAAACATACTCACAGACGTACGAAATGTACACAGCTGTTTTATTTCTGACGTCACACAAACAGCATGATTTCGCGTAACTAATTCTTACAATTAATGACATTACAAAGATAAAAGCGTAACGCAATTACGTAACACGTTACGCTCAGTCAACTCGTGTTCTGGTTCATATTCAATGGCTAACAACTAGTTACTAACAGAATAAAATATATGTGTTTCTTATCTGTAAGAAAATATCAATTTTATTAGATGAAATTAACAGTAATATGTAAATAAAATGTTTTGACCTCGATCTACCTATTATTTCTGTTTACGTGATTACTTTAAGAAGTATTGTTAAAAATGCTAAATCCTCCTCTCAAGATTCTCATTATGTACTGAAAAAAAAAAAGTGAAGCTGAGACAAATGGAATTTAAACTTACGAGACATAATCGTGGGTTAGTAAGTTGACGGTGAGTGAGTTTATGAACGTATGACACTAAGATCCGGGGTTCGATTCTCCGTGGGAAACAGAACGCAGATAAGCCCATTGTGTAGCATTGCGCTAAAAATCAACAACGTAGATTAAGCCTACATTATGATGTGTATATCTGTAGAGTTTTGTTAGTTAGGACTCTCTAAGTTAACGTAGATTAAGTCCGCATTATGATGTATATATCTGTAGAGTTTTGTTAGTTAGGACTTTCTAAGTTAACGTAGATTAAGTCCACATTATGATGTATATATCTGTAGAGTTTTGTTAGTTAGGACTCTCTAAGTTAACGTAGATTAAGTCCACATTATGATGTGTATATCTGTAGAGTTTTGTTAGTTAGGACTCTCTAAGTTAACGTAGATTAAGTCCACATTATGATGTGTATATCTGTAGAGTTTTGTTAGTTAG